GGCTTTTTTCTTTTTGCTTATGTGGTGCTGAGGAATCGAACCCAGGGCCTCAGGCATGCAAGGCAAGCGCTCTACCACTGAGCCACCTTCCCAGCCCTCACACAGGTTTTTCACACATGGAAACAGCAAGCACTCTGCGGTTTTCTGGTTCTCTGATCATATCGGTGTGCCTTCCACCCTCCCCAGTGATAAGGCCCCAGACACCTTCCACCGTGTGTAGAAATTACTTTGAACTAAAAGTAGCCTTCTGTTCTTCATTGTCTGGTTTGGGATATTTTAGTAGCACATTGGCAACTACAACCATGACATACTTACGCTGTGTCCTGTGTCACTGATTTTTAAGGTCCTTGCAGCTGGCCTAGGAGCCCACAGAGGCCACACTGAGCCCGGGCAGGATTAGCACCTCCCTCCCACATCCCCATGCTTTGTCTCTGCCCAGAATCATCTCTGCTCAGGGCGGGACTAATTGCGGCACCTGTGCTCATTTTATGGCTGAGTGAGGGAGATGGCCAGGCTCTGCCCTTGGCTGACTTTCAGATACTTGATTATGACTAAACAGGAAAGCAATAAAGGTGAGACAAAATTAAGAACACTCAGCTTGTATGTACTGTGGAAATGAGCAAATCCTCAAAAGCCCAAACCTCCCGAGCTCTCGAAGTAACTTCTTGCTCCTTGGGGCATCGTGTGTTCACAGGTGTCCAGTCAGGACTTGGGCATCTGTCAGGAATCTGCCAAGATTCCGCGTTGACACAGTCCAATAGAAAGGCGACGCACCCCGCATTCCTGAGGTCCGGGTCTATAGCAAGTGAGATTGACAAAGGCTGCTTTTTGAATCCACTTTAAGAGCAAGAACTGCATGTGGGCAGCAGCATGGGGGCTTCTGAGGATTATGTGAGAAGAGTCACACTATCAGTGACATAGGACTTGTTCAGGAACTGCCGCTCAGGGTCAGAATGAGGCCATTGCTTGCTCGATGAAAGGGTAGCACTGAATTAGGGCTGATGCTGATCTGTATGATGAGCAGGATATGAGTTTGTTACAAATATTGTCAGGCAATGCACAGATAAAGGGACAGATAAAGGGAATCACTTCACTGTTGAAGTGATTGGTAGTGCTATTCAGTGTAATGTTGCCCCCTACTGGTTACATTTCAGAACGGTGCTCTTAAGGTGGCTGCGTAAAATTACATCCAACCATCCAGATGACTAAATTATGCTGAGTGTAGCCAGCAAGTGTGCCAGCATTTGGCAGCTTTTGGCGAATTAGATGTATGTGTGTAGGCCTCCCTGTACGGACTGCCAGTTGAAGTGATGAAGTGTAAGACTGCCATCTAGACATAGTCTTTCTTTGGAGCACTTTGTTCCACAGAGGCCCCGTGCAGCTGCTCAGGTCTCTGTGCTGGAGTCTGCTGGATATATGTCATTTTCTTTAGACTATGACTTGAGTCCATATGAATTGTGACTGCATTGCTTTTACAGTTGCATCCAAGAATTGATGCCCGGAGAGCTGATGAGAACCTTGGAATGCTTCTTGTAGAATTTTTTGAACTCTACGGAAGAAATTTTAATTACTTGAAGACTGGTATTAGAATAAAAGAAGGAGGTGCCTATATCGCCAAAGAAGAGATCATGAAAGCCATGACCAGTGGGTACAGACCGTCGATGCTGTGCATTGAGGACCCCTTGCTGCCAGGTGAGGCTCCGAGCTCCCCTGGCAGGGATGGAGGCCTCTCAGCCCCCTCTTCTGACAGGAGAGCGCTCAGCGTCACCCTCAGAATGCCTCATTCTTCTAACAAGATGGCTCTCTTTACAAGTGTTCATGTTCTATAACCAACCAGAATTAAGAATAAAAGACCCAGCATTTTCAGATTACAGAGGTGTTCGATACTCATTGTAAACTTGTCCCTCCCAGGAAGAAGTTATGAAGATAGAAAGCAAAGTGTTTTAGAATCTTCTTTTGGGGCATTTTTTCCTATGGGGATATTGATATTTGTTACTGTCATCTTTTATTTAAACAATGTCTACAACACAGATTACCAGCTTGCTTTTTGACTTAACAGTCCATCCTAGTCCCTTCCTTGGGTAGATGGGCTGGTTCCATTCCGGGATAAGGATAACCAAATGGAAGAGTCCAAGGCAGGGCTCCTGGCTTCATCCACTGGTGCTGACATGTAAAGTCAGTGCTTATACATCCAGACCCTTGGCAAGAGTCCTTTTGAGTCTTTGCCAACCCAATGAAGGTCTTTGATATAAATTTAAATTTTAACTTACATTAAAAAAAACAGTAGAATTAAACACATTGTTATTTATCAATCCCACGCATGTTTATTGAGCAGTTATTAGGTGAGACACTGGTCTTACTGTTGGTGATAGTATTGAGGGACAGGTGACAGAAAAGGTGGAGGCCAGCTCCAGGTACTCTGCCCCTCCGTGTTGCTTCCCGGTGTGACTTCTTGTGCTCTCCATTTGTCTGCCCTCTGTCTTCTTGCGGGCTGTGTGTTAGGAAAACCATATGCTGCACACAGAATACTCTCTCTTCCTCACTTTAAGTTTTCATTGCAGTTGGTTTCTTGTTATTATGCTGCTCCTATAGGCTTTGTTTTAATATCTTCAAATTCAGTACTATTTTTTAGTCTTACGGCTTCTTGGGTGAGATCATTTTCCTAAAAATAGCCTTCAAGGTAACGTGCTGGCTGTTGGTGTCATGGTATGGGAGCATCTATTTCCTGGCTGCACTGGGTGCAGCGTCTCACCCATCTGTGTGTTTATGTTGTATTCTCAAACTAGAGACATCCACTGCCCTCAATTGTCTGCTTAATTGTACTTGAAGAACTGTGTTATCACTGTGGGTTATCTTTAAATGTAGAAAAGATAAAGTACTGATACTTAGACTATTCCTCCTTAAAAAAAGAAAAAAGAAAAAAACTAGCCATACTGCCCTGTTTTGTGCAGGATGACACAAGTATATACCTTATAAAAATGAAGCTGACTGGCTTACTTGGTGATGGCCTCGTTTGGTTTGCTGTGAATCCAGTTTTAGCACCTGAGGGTTCACATCTAGGGCTTTCTTCCCCAAAGAGCTAACTTCCTGCAGGTTCCACAATCATGAGTTCAGTGGCAGCGTACTCAGGGTCAGCTATCAGCTCTATCTGCAGTTATTCCGAACTCACAATTATGCAGGTCAGCGCTGCTGGCTTCCTGTGATCGTGGCAGTCTGGGGCGTTAGCGGATTTTCATGTGACTCACACCTCCCTGGTGATGGTGACAGACCAGAGCCACATAGATGATGCACACTGAGCCTGCAGGCACTAGCTGTGTGTGCCGTGATGCGTGGTGCGTTCACAGGTGCTGCTTTCCAGGCGTACTTGTTGTGCTGGCCTGGCTCGGCTCTGCTGGTGGAGCCTGGGAGCATCTTGGTGGTGAGAGCTGGACTTCCAGTAACTTGCGGGATAACAGCTCAGGCCTGCAGCCAGGTTTGACAGCTGCCTTTCCATTTCAGGGAATGATGTTGGCCGGAGCTCCTATGGGGCCATGCAGGTGAAGCAGGTGTTTGACTACGCCTACATTGTGCTCAGCCATGCTGTGTCGCCACTTGCCAGATCCTATCCCAACAGGGATTCTGAAAGGTAATGGAGGTCCTGCATCTGCATTCTGGGCTCCCCGCTGCTTCCTTGGGCCACGGGTTCCCATGGCGCTTCTGACGCCCTGCTGTGGAGGCTGTCTGTGCTCCTTAGTAACACGACACAGTGTTCTCTAAGTGCAAACAGCTACTCTAGAGGGGTTTTCAGCTCCTTCCACCTGCCAAGTGGTGTTGATGTCCTACCTTGTTCTTTCCTAGTACTTTAGGAAGAATCATCAAAGTCACTCAGGAGGTGATCGACTACCGGAGGTGGATCAAAGAGAAGTGGGGTGGCAGGACCCACCTGTCTCCAGAGCTCGGTGAGAGGCGCGCGCGGCCGGGGACCTAGCCTCTGTGGTCTGCTTCCCGCCAGCTGCAAAAACACCTAGGTTTTCTGATGAGCAGCAATTCAATACTGTAGGCTGTAGATCGGCACAGTCCAGTGGGACTGAGTGCATGCTCTCCACCTGTGGGTTGTGAAGTTTCTCGTGGCTGTATTAGTAATGTGGAGAAGATGAGCACATGTATTTTATTCAGTTTCACTCAAGGTAAAACATTTCAGCATGTAGTTGGCTTAAGAAATTGCGTAGCTAGTTTATATCCTTTTGTGTTACTCTGTCTTTGAAATACAGTATGTACTTGTGTTTATAGAACCTTGTTTTTAGGGTACTAAATTTTTATGAGAAATGCTTTCTGATTTCTTAAAAGCTACAGGAGATGATGTTTTTATTTTTTTTTATTTTTATTTTTTGGGTCCAGTCGTGGGGCCTGAACTCTGGGCCTGGGCGCTGTCCCTCAGCTTTTCAGCTCAAGGCTAGCGCTCTACCACTTGAGCCACAGCAGCACCAATTCGGCTTTTTTTCTTTTTTCTTTTGTGGTGCTGAGAAATCGAACCCAGGGCCTCAGGCATGCAAGGCAAGCGCTCTACCACTGAGCCACCTTCCCAGCCCAGGAGATGTTGTTGTAAGCATAATCTGATGTTTTTCAGTGAATGAGGTGAATATTGTTCTACAATCAGACGAGTTGAATGTAACATTCTGTTTGCCCCTTGTACTGGCCGTTCTGGGAGCTCCTCTCAGTGATCTGTGCTGTGTTCTCTCACCCCAGACAACAGGATTAAGACAAAGGAGCGAATCGGCACGTGCAATGGGGAGCAGGCACAGAGCCTGGAGCCCGGCTCACCCTACAGCCAGCGCCTGACTTTGTCCCTGTCCAGTCCCCAGCTCCTCTCCTCGGGCTCTTCCGCTTCTTCCGTGTCCTCACTTTCAGGGAGCGATATTGTGAGTACCCCCGCGTCCCCTGGGTCGTCAGCCCCGGGTGCAGGCCTGGTAGGCCTCCATAGCAGTTTCACCAGCCTTGGTTTCAGTGTGTGGCGTGTGTGCGTGCATTCCCTGCAGCCTGCGCTGGGCTGCCCCTCTGGCACTGGCTTGAGAGTCCCAGTCTTAGTTGCCCATGTGACCTTTTGGTTGGGAGCAGTGGAAGCACATGGTTGAGCTGTGGACTGTTAAGAACCGATTTGGATGTTAAAAAGACAAGTTAGGTCCAGGTGTCTCTCCAGTATTTCTTTGACGTACTCTCATGTTGCAATGACTGGCGGGCAGCATGGCAGGGTGTTCAGACAGGAGCATGGTTCCAACAAGCTCTCAGAGTGGCCTCTGTGTGGGTGCTCCTCGGAGCTGAAGCGCTGCTCTTTTGGTTGTTTGTGCTGGATTCTAGGACTCAGACACACCGCCCTGCAGCACACCCAGCGTTTACCAGTTCAGCCTACAAGCACCGACCGCGCTGGTGGCCACCCTACCCACTGCCTTGCCGATGCCCAGTGGCAAGGCTCAGCCCAGCACTTCCAGAACACTGATCATGACAGCCAACAATCAGGTACAGCTCTTCTCCTTGATCATGACAGCCAGCAATCAGGTACAGGTTTCTTACTGATCATGACAGCCAACAATCAGGTACAGGTCTCTTACTGATCATGACAGCCAACAATCAGGTACAGGTATTCTCCCTGATCATACAACCAGCAGTCAGGTACAGGTCTTCTCCCTGATCATGACAACCAACAGTCAGGTACAGGTCTTCTCCCTGATAATGACAGCCAACAGTCAGGTACAGGTCTTCTCCCTGATCATGACAGCCAACAATCAGGTACAGTTCTCTTACTGATCATGACAAACAACAGATACAGGTCTTATTGATCATGACAACCAGCAGTCAGGTACAGGACTTCTCAGAGGACAAGCCCAGGCTACGGCTTTTGACTACAGAGCTCAGGACGGGAGAGGAGTGCTGGCTTAGAATTAGAAAAAGAATCTTTCGCATCTGTGATAGGCCAAGCATCTTTATCTCACTATATGTTTTTTCTAGGGTAGAATTCACTTCCCATCGTTCTATAAAAGATAGTCTTTGAGGCTGTTGATGGAGGCTCATTGTGTCTGATCGTAGCATTCAGAACACTGTTGGGTTCTTGAGTATTGAAATGCTACTTGACGAGGGCCGAGGTGATCATCTTTCTAGCTGCTCCTTCAGTATCCAAAAGGAGACTGCTGCTGTCCTGGAGAGATTGATGCTGGCCACTGCTTTGATCTCAGCATCCCAATGTTTAGGCTTTTAGCATTTTAATATGAATTGAGACTTTTCCTGTTATTATTTTGGAGACTATTCCTATTAGACTATGCTCTACTTTGAAATTTGGATTAAAGTTAGAAGTCTAAATGAGAATGTTGCAAATACTAAACTTGGTGTTAGTATCTTCATTATACATGAATTAAATATGAATGAACACAGCACATTCATTTACTCGAAAGTGAATGAAACTAGCTTTAGAGCTGTGGGCTGAGTTGAAACAGCTCCACAGACTGGTCTCTTGAGTAGTTTGGCTTGCTGGGATCCATCCATTTGCAGAGTCAGACGAGCTCCCCAAATGCAGAGCTTCACACTGCGAGGTTGACATGTGAGTGCTGACGGAGTTTGTAGTCGCACCCAGGAAGTGCAGCACAACCCACACACCTTGTTGGTGCATATACGTAACATTCTCAGGCGGTTGTTTAAATTATTAAATTTTGTCCAGATAAACTTATTTGCCACATCTGCCCATTGCATTGGGCAGCTACAGTTTAACTGGTGCCAAGTTCAGTGTCTCAGAGAGCTGCAGCATGCCCATCTCTTCCATCTCCTGCTGTGACTACTTGTGGTCCTTGCAGACTCTAGGGATATTGGGGAGTCTTAAGTCAAGTGGGTGCTGTGGCCGAGTGTCTCACTTAGTATTTACACAAATCTGTTGTCTGATGTGAGGCAGGCTAAGGTATTTATGTCAGTAGAAAGTGGTTCCTTCCACTGGAACAATTCAGTGAGCTCCATCCTGAAATACGGAGCTTGCAGAATGATGGCTACCCATGTGGGACATGATTTCTGAGTCTTACAGGGATGCAGTTGGGGATCCTTGATTGGTGGTCACTAAGGGGCGTTGGAGATCCCAAAGAACGGAGCATGCTTTTCTGGAGATCCACTTCCCTGGAGAGCAGAGGAGAGGCTGAGATTTCCCTAGCACAAGATTCTAGCAGAGTGGAACAAAGGGGATGTTTTACTGTTGCCCCTGCTCTTTATTCCCTGGAGTGCTTTTGATGGTGGCCAGCCACTGCGCACCATTCCCCGGTATCTCCCTCCAGAGGTGTTCGTGATGAACAACAGGATGCCCAGATGGGACGGGGCATTCGTGGCCTCATGTCCGAGAACTGGTGCTCACCAGCACTCCTGCGCTGTGGCGGGAATGGGCGCTTTGGGAAGGAGCATCCCAGGAGCAAGAGAAGAGGCAAGAAGGACTGCTCCTGGCTCCCACCTTCCCTCCGTGTGCACCTCGTGTTCCCTTGGGTCAGAAGCAGGAGGTGGGGGGGGGGTTGGGGGGGAGTGTTTATTCAGGGGCTCTTCCCACAGATCCAAGTGGTACTTGCTATTTTGATGGCTTGAATTGTGGTTTGGTCTTCAGTGAGTTTTAGAATTGGGTTCTGGGTTGACTGAATATTGTATTGCTCTTCCAGAAGTTGAGTTATTTCCAATTCAAGGGCAGTACTGCTAGGTCATGAGAAAACACTGAGGCTTTACCAAGCGTACGAGCGGGTGTGTGGGTGGGTTGTTCATAGGCAGGCCTGGCTTGTAGTGACTTTGGGCTTTGGGCCTTTGCTGTGGACAGGTGTGAATGTTTCTTTCTTTGTTCTTAGACCAGGTTTGCGATCCCTCCGCCCACCCTCGGGGTGTCCCCGGTTCCCTGCAGACAGGCTGGCGTTGAAGGAACCACCTCCTTGAAGGCTGTCCACCACGTGTCCTCCCCGGCCATCCCCTCCACGTCCCCCAACCCGCTGTCCAGTCCTCACGTGTACCACAAGGTGTGTGTCACCGCCGCTGCCCTCCAGCAGTGCATCCGGGCGTGTGGGGACACACGTGTTCACACCCCCAGCTGAGGGGGACACACGTTGTTCACACCCCCAGCTCTGTGGGGACACACGTGTTCATATCCCCAGCTGTGGGGACACACGTGTTCACACCCCCAGCTGTGGGGGACACACGTGTTCATATCCCCAGCTGTGGGGGACACACGTGTTCACACCCCCAGCTGTGGGGGACACACGTGTTCACACCCCCAGCTGTGGGGGACACACGTGTTCACACCCCCAGCTGTGGGGACACATGTGTTCACACCCCCAGTAGTGGTTTTAAAGGGGGTGGGGGTCACTTTCTGGTTACTCAACTTTCTTTTCTGAACTATTTTAAAATGGAATATACGTCAATTGTCCCAAGACGTCTCAGTTCTTCTGCTGAGCTGGTTCGCATACAGCTGAAATTTGAAGCAGGCTTTTGTTTTCCCATTTACTCGTTCTTTTCATGCTGAGGTATTTACATTAGTTTTCCAGAAGCAGAGGGTAAGACCAGGAACACACTTGTCCCTGGCGCTGTGTTTGCCAGTTGCTTGCCTCCCTGCCTGCGTGGATGAAGGGCCGCATGGCCAGGCCCCGTTCACTGTCCTCCAGCTCTCCCAGGAGCCCCGAGGGGCCTGCGGCTTCCGTGATGAGTCCCTGTGCTCTTCATGTGCGTGGAGAAGTGTGACCTGGGTTTTCTAGCAAGATTGCTCTGCAGGGTTTGATGTTTTCCCTTGGGATTCAATAAACTGGTATATCTATTAGTGTTCGCATCTTATGCCAGATAGTCCTTAAGTCAGGCACTGATGGCTCACACCTGTAATCCTAGCTAGTTACGAGGTTGAGATCTGAGGATCTCAGCCAGCTCAGACAGAAAAGCCTGTGAGGTGCTCGCTGATTTGGAATTAACCACCAAAAAAGCTAGAAGTGGAACTGTGGCTCAAGTGGTAGAGTGCCAGCCCTAAGTGAAAAAAGTAAGCAATAGTAAGAGAACCAGAGATTTAGCTCCAGTACTGGCATGCTAAAAAAAAGTCTAATCCAGTTAGGCCAGTGCATTTTTATTCTAGAGGGTTTGTCCTTAGCTCTCTGCGGCTCATTTCTAGTATATAACAGAACACTCTTGCCATCCTTTAGCAGTAGGCCTTTTGTCACAGTCCCATGCTCATCTGTCAGAAATAGGTGATAACTGGTCAAGAGTGGTTCTTGATTTTTATCCTCCACTTCTGGAAACTGAGTAATGAAATCAACTTGGCCAATAAATTGGAAAACAAAATAGTTTTCATTTTCAAGCTAGCTTATTTCAAATTTTAGTTTTTATGCTAATTGAGCAGGAGAATGGAGAGATGTCTTGTGCCACTCCACTTCTTAGTGGAGCGTCTTCATTGCGTTAGCTTATGCTTTCCTTTCTGCATTTCTGCTGTTTGGTTTGCTCTGAGTCTTACTCCGTCTGTGCGGAGAGCGTCCCCAGCCCGTGTGCTGCCCCTGACAGTGGCCAGGGCACATGCCACCCACTTGCGTGGTTCCGAGTCATAGTCTGGGCGAGGCCTGACAGGGAGCTTCTCATCCCTGTGGGGTGCAGAAGAAACCAGACAGGAGAGTGGAGAAGCTGTGTGGTGAGACCTGGCCCGCGAGGCTTCCCGGGAGTGGCTGCAAGGAGGTGACATTAATCTGGAGACGTCGGTGCCCTGCTCTGCCTCCAGCCGTGCACGTGGCAGCGCCCGCACCCGCCAGTCGTCCTCAGGCCTCTTCCTGTAGCCCCGGCCTTGCCGGTGGAGGGCAGTGCGCCAGGGTGGCCAGGCACGCTGCCTGTCTCGGCAGAGTGCTCTCCAGTAGATGGGGTGGGTGGCTGGTGTGGGGTCCGCGTGTCTGTGTCGTACTCTGACACTTCTCCCCCATCTCTCCAGCAGCACAACGGCATGAAACTTTCCATGAAAGGCTCCCACAGCCACGCCCAGAGCGGTGGCTACAGCTCTGTGGGCAGCGGAGGTGTGCGGCCCCCGGTGGGCAACCGGGGGCACCATCAGTACAACCGCACCGGCTGGAGGAGGAAAAAGCACGCGCACACGAGGGACAGCCTGCCCGTGAGTCTGAGCAGATAATGGCTCCTGTCTGTGTCCGTCCTGGACTGCCCCCGCCCTGGGCACTGCAGGGAACTAAGACCAGCATCCAGCACCTCAGCCGTGGGCCAGAGCGCCCGCCCCGCCCGCCCGCCCGCCCGCCGCTGATCACTCTGCATGTTTCTCTGTGTGGTGGTCGCGTCCATCTTCCAGAACAGCTCCCCGTGCTCATCTGTGAAGCCTTATTCAACACGGACATGTGTCTGCCCGTCTGCCGGGGGCCGCGCCGTGCGGGTGGGGCGGGTTTGGGAGCACGGGGTGCGTGCTCCGTGGCCCTGCCGTGGCCCCGTGCGTGTCCGCGCTCGGGGCGTGGCGCTTCCGTGGCGGGCCTGTCGCGGGGGTCGGCCCCTCCTGGCGCTCTTGCGTTCCTGCTGGGGAGGCCGGTCAGAGGCCATCGTTTTACTGCCCTCACATCTTGTTTGAAACTCTGGAACTGTTTTTCTATGTAAATATTGAAAACTTATGATTTGTGCAATAACTCAGATATTTTTTATTTAATTTCATATTTTCACATAAGTTATATTTAAGGGAGGAGGGAATTTTTTTTTAAACAAGCGTAGATCCTTTCCCAAGTTGCATTTTCTAAGTTGGGTTCATCATGTTGGCTGGTTGTCTGACGGGCATCATCGCAAACACCGTAACGCGAGGGTCTGGGCTTTATTTTGTGTCTTTTCTTTTGGTCAGATGTGCGGAAGGAGCGGCGTGGCCTGGGTGGGTCTCGGAGCCCCGAGGCAGGCCGCGGGCTGAGGGGCTGTTCTGACCAGGAGTTCTGCTGTTTTGGTTCTTTTAAACTAGACAACAAATCCAGCATTTAAAGTGCCAGAAGTATAACTCTCTAAGGGGAGGAAAGGTTGTTAGATCTTTAAGCAAAATGTGAACTTGGAAGCGCTCGGCTCCGCGGAGTCGCGTGGCGTGGCGTGGCGGGCCGGCGTGGCGCCCGGAAGGCGCGCCCAGTTTTAGGAATGTGGAGAAAGGAATTCTGTTGATTCCGTGGAGGAATCTGCATAGCAGTATGCATTCGTTCTGTTAAGAGCAACTATTCCCGAAGTACCTCCACTGCTCGGGGCAGGCGGGGAGTATCTTCACGTATCGCAGGAGAGCACAGCCCCGCGTGGGCCCAGGAGCGTCCGAAGCATACCGGTATCCTATGCAAGTGTATTCTGCCACAACAACCACTGTCTTTCTTACCTTTTTCTGAACAAGAATATATCCATCCTGCCGAACCCTGAATGTTCAGAGCACTATGGTTGTCCCGGGAGTTGGTTGCATCTTGCAGGCCCTCTGACGTCCTGTTTTGAAAACGGGGGGTCTGGCCCTGCTAAACACTACAGGTAGGTTGGTGTTGGAAGTCCGCTAGCGGAGAGCGCGGAGATCAGAGGCTGGAGGCCCTGCCCCCGAACGGCGTGCGGCAGTGGCTGTCCTCGCCGGGCGCCGGGGGCTGTGGCCACCGGCACAGCAAGCTGTGCGCGGGGCCGCCGCTCCAAGCGGGGCCCCTCCATCTTCTACCCGAGCAGTCCGGCTGTTTACGGACCTCGGGCGCCTGGAGGCCTCGCAGAGCGGAGCCGCACGCGTGCACACATGCGGGGTCTGTAGTCGAGAGGATTAGAGTCATCCAAAATATTTAAAAATATTTAAATCGTGAACCTATTGATAAAGCATATTTATCAACACTGATCCTTAGGCCTGTACTAATCTCTACACATTAGCAATATTGACTGTAAACCTGCGAAAGGAAGCCACTGCGGGCCCAGGCGCGTGCCCGCGGCATGTAGGTGTGCGTTTTAAAGGTTGTTCCCTAGACACAGGTACCATGTCCATTCCTGTCACGGTGAACCAAATGAATTGGCCTGGCTACCACGGCAGTGTGCGCTGCAGGTTTCACAGAGTTACCATGTTCCGATTTATGTGTGAGTGTGTGGACAACAATGTGGAAGCTAAAATTGACATATTTTTATGTAAAGTTTTTCTATTCTTTGATTTTTAATAAACTTTGAAAATCAGCTTTGTGCGTGAGTAGGCAGGCACTTTCCTTGTCGCCCGAGGCGGCTTGCAGGTCGTGGGTTGGGGTGTCACGGGCTGGTGAGGGAGCCGGTGCTGGGCCGGGCTCATGATGGCTCCAAGCTTCACGAGCCCCGCGTGTGGAAGAGCAGCAAGCAGGTCCCCACGAGTGAGCTGGCCAGGGACCCGCAGCGCGGTCCGGCACCTGGCAGGCCCACACCCTCCAGCGAACCCTTCCCAGCGCCCATCCGGTGTACCTGGAAACAGCTCACGTGTGAGCAAGCGTGGTAAGAGTGCTTACAAGCCCGTGAGTGACGGCTCGGAGTCCGGGCTGCGTGGCATCTTCGTGTGTGTGTACAGTTTCCATGGTGCCTTCAGCATCGCCAAGGTGGGTGTTTTGGCCAAGTAACTCACGCCTCTCCACAGATGGATGGTTTGCGTTGTCCAAGACCGGGATTCGAATTCAGTACGTGACACTTGATTTCATTCATTTGCTGGTGCTCCACCCCCTGAGCCACGCCCCAACACCCTTTTACAAGTGTTCTGAGCAGGTCCAGCCTGGACAACAGTCCAATGCTCAACACTGTTCAGTTCTTAGGGCGTGTCAGGAAAATACACCTGGGGGAGGTCCAAGCCCAGGGCCAGGAGCGCCTCTCGCAGCCACACCTGCGGCCCAGGCCTGGCCGCCGCTCCACAGCAGCTGTCCACTCCCGAGGGAGCAGCAAGGGCTGCTGGGAGCGGAGCCGCGCCCTGGCAGCCATGATGTTTGCGTCAGGGACTCAGCACGCAGTATGCGTTAACTTCTGATCCAGGCCTCCATGCCTGGGGAGACAGCCAGCTCAGAGGCCCCATGGAGCTGTGATCTCCCCCCACCCTGGTAGTGCTGGCCTTCCACAGCTAAAGCAAGTGACCGACACAGCCAGTTGCACGGAGTACACATCCTGAGCCCCGCCCGTCAGATGCCCAACGGCTAGGGTGCGTTCCACCTGCTGCGGCAGAGGTGGCTTCCCCTGGCACCATCCTTCCAGGCACGATCTAGTCCTAGGAAAGAACCGGTTCATTACACCAAGGGCCTCGGCAGGTTCTGGGTAAGGTAAACCCAGACCTGAAGGGGCTCCTGGGGGTGGGGGGGGGGAGCTGAGTCTCCCGTGGGCCCCAGGCCGTGGGTGCAGGCCTTCCAGGACACTGCTGCACGGTGCGTGAGGTCTGCACATGTCAGATCTCTGACGTGGATGTGTAGGTTTGATGCTGCAGTCACACATCGGACCAGAACGAAGCATGCGTGCGGGTTGCTTGGACTGGGAGGTAGATGGGATCGTCATTCTTGTGTATGTGTCGGTCTGTTATCAGCAGAGTGCTAAAAACCAAGTCCACGCTTCCTCAGCTGTGTGGCTCAGGCTCAGCTCGAAGCAGCTCTGTCCTGTAGGAGACGCACACAGGCGCTGCGAAGCGTCTTCTCTGGGCAGATGGCAGAGCAGAGACATGGCTGCTCAGCGCTCTTCTGCAGGGCATGGAGGGAAAGGCTCTGTGATGGCCTGTTCCCCCAGCTCCGTGCTCTGCTTCGTCATGGGCTCCCTGAAGGTGGAATCGTCCTCAGCCAGGATGAGTTGCCCCTGCCTGGGCTGGCGAAAAGGTCAGGGTGAAACTGCTCAGGCTCACACGGGGCCTTGGGCTTCTACTGGGCTGGGCTGTAATGCCAGCGCCGTGCTTACCAGATGCAAAAGCTGCCTCTGGGGTGGTTAGCTTTGGCGGTTACACATACGCGAATGCCACCCTAGCCTTTAGCTTGCCACTCATTTCTCCCCAGTGCCCTGGGTTTGCTGGCCTCCTTCCCCTCCCTCCCTCCTCTGCCTTCCCCTCCCTCCTTCCCTCCACTCCTTTCCTTCCTCTCCTGTCAGCTCCTTTCCCACCTGCTTCAAGGAGACCAGGACCTGTGTGATAGAGTCTCACCCATTGTTGTGTGCTCAGGATAAGGAAAGCTTCAGGGTTTCACAGGGTACTACTGCAGGTGAGGGACTGTGTGTGTGTGTGTGTGTGTGTGTGTGTGTGTGTGTGTGTGTGTGAAGGGGGAGGGGGATTCAGGCAGAGGAGAAGTAGAATGCTCAGGCAGCCTTGGCCCTTCCAATGATGGAGCCATCCCTTGGTCCAGCGTGCAATCCCAGGACACCTGTGCAGCCTGTGGAGGTCACCTCCGGGGCTCTCCCCGCTCCCCATCCTGGGCCTCCGCTGAGGTGCTGCTCTGGGGCTAAATACTGGCCTCTCAGCTGATCTGTATCTAGTGCTGGTGATTGTTGTTTAATCTTTCCCCAGACACGTGACAACAGTTGTGTGAAATTCAGAAAATAGAGAATTGCTGGAAGAATGACGTGGAAGAAGGAAAGCTCTGAAAACATCCACATAAAAGCCAGCTGGGTGATTTGGTTTCTGTCCTGGCTTCTACAGACAGGCGCGGTCAGCCGAGGGGCTGGGGGCTGGCCGCTGGCCGCTGGCCGCTGGCCTCAGTGTCTGCGCTCACCTACAGCAGCTGTGCTGCAGGGAGAGCCTCAAACCCACCTCCGCCTACAGGCCAGCCTCTGTGACCCAGCACTCTACCACCCCCGGGAGCAGTGACCTTTCTGTCCTTGGAGGACTGGGCTTCGTCATGGTCCCAGGATGCCTCTGGTACTCACTGCTCTGATGTGTGTGTGTGTGTGTGTATGTATGTGTGTACACACTCATAGTGGGGTTGGAGCTGACAGCCTCTCTTGCTCAGCTTTTCCATTCATATCTGGTGTTCTACCACTCGAGCCATGCCTCTACTTCCAGCCTTTTGCTGGAGAATTGGAGGCAAGCTTTGCCGGGCTGGTTTTGACTTTGATCCTCAGATCGCAGCCTTCTGGGTAGTTAATAATATGGGGCTGGTTTTTCTGTCTTTTTTTTTGGCTCATGGGTGACATACGGATGCACGGTGCGCCTTTCTCTTAAGGAAATGTGGAGCAGGGTGAAGCTGCTCCATGGAGGCCTGTTGCCTCCAGTGTCCACCTGGCAGCGGAGGTGGATCCTGGGCTGAGAGCACCCAGCACCCAGGAGCCTCTGGAATCAACCAGCTGAGTCTACATCCTGGGCCCTGTCTTGCCAAAGGAGTGCGCCTTGCCTCCAGGTGTTCACACCAGCATGAGCCGAACGAGAGTCTGCAGTAGTATTCCATCCACCCCCCACCCTTTCTGACATCGCCCCCTGGTGGTCAGGACCCATCATGACAGGCATGGCCAATCCCAAGCCACAACCCCAAATCTGCCCCAAATGAGGGATTTACCCACAAAGGCAAAAGGGGCAGGCCCACAGTGTGTGGCCTCCACGTGGCTGGCTTCTCTGGGCACAGAAGAAGGTGTTTTGACCTTTTCTTTCCCTGGCTGTGTCATCTAGCTTCAGAACCTCACGGGGCAAAAAGGCCTGAGATCCCCTGAGCACAGAAGGAAGTCAGGTCTGCCTGTAGGGAGGGCCGGACACCCTGCCCTCCCCAGGGACAGGGTGGCCTCTGGCTGTTGTCTCAGAGTCCTTCTGGAGACTGCCCCCCTCCCCACTGTCTCTGCAGAGTTCTTGGCCTGAGCACACTACCCCTTGTGCCCAGGAGGTTGCCTTCCGATGGTGCCCCATCCACCCCTGTGTAAGGAAGAACTGCTTTTATACGTTCAAGGCTTTCCTGTTTACCTTCCTTACCCCCCCCCATTGCGAGCACACGTGTCTGGTCCACACCTCCGCACTGGGCGGGATACTTCAGAGTTGCAGGTTGCTAGCTTCTGCTCCGAGGCCAAAGAATATTGTGGGGGTGGGGGGGAGGAAGCACAGCTTTAGGGAGGAAAATTAGTTTCTGTTGAAGACTGGGATGTGGTGGAGCGCAGGTGTAAAGCCTGTTGCTGAGGAAGGGAGGGGAGGGGTTGGAGGGACAAGGCTGCCTAGGATGTGGGGACATTCAGAATTCAGGATTATCAGAAAACAGGAACGCAAATGGACCAGGGGCGTAGCTCATGGGGCAGAGCAGCACTTTCCTAGCGAGGTCTCGTCTCAGAATTCAATCCTCGGCAGCCCACATGCTTCACACCCTGAAGAGCAGCTGGAACTAGTTTTGTATTCTAGTAAAAGTAACTAGAAACTAAAGAAGTGTTGCGTTCTCCTTTTAGCTGTCTCTGATCACTTGCGTGTGTCTGGTCGGGGTGTCTTGGTGTTTGGCCTCCTGTCCTGTCTGCGTGGGTGCCACACGTGGGGGTCCCCCGGGGCAGATGGCTGCCGGATCTCACTGGTGTCCCTTTTAAGTCCCTAAATGTGTGTGCCTCACCTTTCAGTGAGCAGGGCCTCTGCCCGCTCCTTGAACATGGGGAAGGGACTCTGCACCTGGGTCTGGCTGAGCAGCTCCCCCCTCAGCTCCCTCTAGTTAGGGTGCAGCCCAGGACCCCCCTCCCCTGCGTGGCCTCCCCCTGCAGACCTAGCCCTGTGCTGCAGGCCCTTCCGGTTCTGGCTGCCATCTCTGGGTGAGAAGAGAGGGGACGCTGGCCTCCGCCTCCAGATCTGTGAGCTGCCAGGCTCCCTCCAGGGCTGCTTGTGGTGGGGGTGGGGATCTCCTCTGGGCAGGAGTGTGTGTTCCCCAAGGCAGGCTGGGAACCCAGTTAATAGTTAAAGGGAAATCACAGGCAGTGCTTGGATTTTAAGTTGCAGGGAAGGCGGGCTGCAATTGTGTTCTCTCTTGTAAGAGGGAAAGCTGTGCGATGAGCCAGCAGTGGCAGTGGAGATGAGCCAGAAACCCTGCCCTCAGTCTTGCGGGCTTTGTGGGGGCTGACCGTTGAACTGCGGTCTCTTCACCGCACTCCCAGACCGTCAAGGTCCTCAGAGAACTTGTGTCATGTCCTGTCTTTCTCCACCCCTGGTGCTCTGAGGGTCAGATTAGGTGCCCTGCCCTGCCCTGCCCTTGCCAGTGCGCACAGAGCTCAGCCCCCGACCCTCTGCCTGCAGACCCTTCCCCTGGGCAC